AGAAGAGGTGTCTTGGTACCCCGGGGTGTTGGTTTAGAGTAGGGTTGTTTTGTTCAATTAAGATGAATTCCTTGATTTTTCATTTATTACTATAATAGTTTTACCAGTAAAGGCATTATCAGGTACAGAGTCTGTACCAAATGAAGCTTTTACTGGCAAAACCATAGTGGTTATAAATGAAATATTTGTAAAACATACAAATGTCTTTATTTTCTACAGTTCTATCTTCATTCCTTATCTAACATAAATGATTGAAAATAATGCTAACACAGGAGATTGATAAAATTAAGCATTTACATAAGTAGCTTTGTTATTAAAACTGTTACCTTATGAATGATTGAATTGGATCCTTTTTATATGCATCACGATCATCCACCAGCATCTAAGCAATTAAATGGCCTGATGGTTAGGGTGCTAGACTTGCAATCTGAGGGTTGTGGGTTCGAATCCCCATAACCGAACATGCTCGTCCTTTCAGCCATGGGGGTGTTATAATGTGACAGTCATCCCTACTATTTGTTGGTAAAAAAAAGTAGCCCAAGAGTTGGTAGTGGTGACTAGCTGCCTTCCCTCTAGTCTATCACTACTAAATTAGGGATAGTTATTGCAGATAGCCCTCGTGTAACTTTGCATGAAATTCAAAACAAACCAAACTAAGCAATTAAACTTGAGTACAGGCAACTTTTAATGAAGTTTATTCAAGTGGGTAATACAAACTTGGGATTTGAGAAACCCCATTAGTATACAAGATTTTGGGTTTGCAACCCTCAGTTAAAGTAAAAAATTAAGATACACACACACTCGTGTGTGTGTATATATATATATATATATAATTAGTCTTTCAGGGGTTACTTCAAAGTTTTAACTTAGCCAACTTACTCAAGGTCCTTTACTTTTTATATTAAAGGAAGAAATTTAATCTTTACCATTTATATCTAGCACTACTCTTTTTGTAGATTATTAAATAAGAATATTGTCTTAAATGTTAGTCTAACCTCTCGGAGAAACAGTGTATTTTGTAGGTCTGTTTTTTTTTGTATTTATTTTAATTTCACCCTCTTTTTTTGTGGAACTAGATTGTTCTCACTCTATCATTAGAAATGGCAGCTGTCATGTCCCAAAGAAACCACCTGGGTCAAAATCAAATCCCAACACTCCACTGTGTGCCTCTGTCCAGCAACTTAATTCCTTGTCTGGAACTGATTGTGATACATGTGAAAGGTTATCTTCTAGTGGAACAGAAAGCGTGCACATTCAGAAAGTGAAATCAGATGATATTTCATCAAATAAAAAACAAAAGAGTCTAACTAGACCCAGGTTAAAAAATTGTCTTATTTCACAACTTTTTTCAAACTTTTTTCCACAACTAAAAACAATAAATCCAAGACATGATGCACCCAGACAACCCTCCATGTCAAGTGCAGATCAGTGGGCAACACCAAGTTATCATTCAACAGTATCGGCTGTGAACACCGAAGTTGTTTACAGTTCAAGAGAACCAGATGAAGTAAGAGTAAACACTACAACTATGGGTGACTCAAATTTAGTTGAAGCAGGTAACCCTACTAGGAATGTTTCCACACCAAACCGTTGTGTAACTAGAATTGGAGTTTCTTCATTGACTCGGATTCAGAAACAGCCAATGTCATTATTTATGGACTGTGGTTATGGAATGGGTCCTGCCGAGTCAGAACCCAATTTGTACCGTTCACACTTATGGTCATCTTTTCCTTCTCTATCAGCAGTCAGTGTAGGATGTTATCATACTGAAGGCTGTCTCAGAAAATTGTCCAGTCAGCAGCCACTTAACTATTTGGACAACTCCACAGTACCAGCAGAATATAATTGGAGTAAGCTATCTCATACCACTACTGGTGAATTTCCTTTTGTCCCTCCTCCACCAGGCTACAGAAATAGTTTGGGTTCATTACAAATAAATCAGAACTGTGAATTATCACTGAACAGTAGTCCACTAACAATTTCCCAAGAGAACATTTCTGATCAGGTATAGTTCTTATAAAGTTCATAATATACTTCTGTAATCTGAAGTCTTAAACATGTAAGGAAAACAAGGTATTACTTTAGTTTTAATCCAGAAAGTATCTAAAAGGCAATAATCCAGTGTACCATAATAATTGTTGGTATTTTTTAGTAATAAGACTTACTGGAAAAACAGTCTCATGATTTTTAAAAGAAAGTGTAGCAAAACTTTCAATTGCAAGCCTTAAATATTTGGTTTCCAGGATTCTTATAGTTTTATCTATAACCCTCTTATTTCAACAGTGTTAAAAGTGTATGTTTTAAATGGCCTGATGATTCTGGTTTCCTACCAGTTTAGCCTTTCTTTTTATAATTTTATCCAGAATGATAAATGTGAAAGCCGAAACATGCATCTTGTAATACAATTTTTTTTTAGTCAGGATGGAATAAGTTGTTTTATATTGGTGAAAAGTTGAGTACTGTGTGCACAGTGTTAGCAGGTGTTTTAAACTTGTGGGAATTAATTTGTCTTTTTATATATATATATATACTAGCTGAGCTGGCATTGCACAGTGAATATTTAGATTTCAAATGTATTGTGCTTGAAGTCTGGTTTGATGTTGTTCAGAAGTTTCTTGTTGTCTATATCCAGCTTGCCTTGATGATTCTGACTGAACTCTGGCTTTGTGCTGTTCAACAGTTTCTTGCTGTCTTTGAGTAGCCTGCCTTTCAGCTTGAGCTTGAAGTCTAACTTTATGTTGTTCCAAAGTGTCTTCCTGTATTTGAGCAGCTTGTGCTTGAAGTCTTTGATTGCGTTCTTCTTCTGCTTCAGCTACTTATTGTGCTTGCATTCTTTTAGCAGCAGAAGACTTTCCATAGAAAGGGCGTTTCTTGGGTGGCATAATCACCTGTATCACTAAACAATAATTTGCAGTTCACAAAGTTACTAAATCACTTATGAAACAACTTAGCACTATTTAAAGAAAACTTTTTGGAAATACTGAATTGACAGCAAGGTGATCCGAGTGTCTCCCGCTATAACACTTTCTGTGTGCAAAATGTGCTTATGTTTGTATGTTTATTACAAAAAAATGGCGCAATAATCATTAATTGTCAATTTCATCATTAAATACCACACCAAATACAAAATAAATAGTACCATTAAATTTCTTGTAAAAAACTGATTATTATGAAGTTATTTTACAATTTGTAAGTTCAAGGGAACAAAATAAACAAACTTCCTCTTTTATACACACACACACACATACATACATACATACATACATACGTACAAGTCAAAATAACTGAATAAAAATAGCTATGGGAGATTACTGATTGATGAATTTTTATACATTTTTTAAACAATTTTTGCTCAATGTTAACCTACAAAGTGCAAGTATTAAGTTGTTGGGTTAAAATAAGGATATTGTGTTATTTTCCTAGTATAACAGTTCATGTTATAGAAATCACAGAAAATAATATTATATTATAATGTGTTGTAGTAAGCAGCAATTTAAATATTTTTTCTTGTAATGTAACCCCAATTTTATATTGTGGTGAAATTTTTTGTTTGAGAAATGTATATAGCACAATTCTTTTAAGCTTAATTAAATATTTAGAAATCAACTTTGATGATTTTTTTCAGGTTTGGTATGATAGTTGTTTAAACAGGATTTGCTGGTTCAATATTTTATACGTTTGAGAAAATTACATTCATAATTTTTTTTATGTAATGTGGTAGTAGAGTTATGAAAAGTATGTGACAACTGTCATTTAAAACAATGCAATTTTTTAATAGGTTAGTTCGTGTAACATCCTAAAACACCAGAGATTGGTTCAGGATTATTACTACACTACTCAAATTCACCACCGGACACTTGATGACTTAAGTCAGCTTGGAAAGAGTAGTCACACTCTGGATTTTCCTTTTATCACTGGACTTTACAATGATCGATCTTTACTTATGCTTCCAAAAACAGTCCCAACTTGCTCCAGACAACGTCACCTTGGGTCTAGAAAAGATCTAAGAAGATTTTCTTGTAGTTGTGAGAGTTCTCTACTCAAAGCTGATGATTTGTCTAAACTTTCACATTCAGAATCCAGACCAGTCAGTTGGCACTTAAGTTCGGTGGGTACATCATAGTGTGGAATTGATATCAGAATGACTTGAAGATCTGTTGTAATATCTTGTTTCTTTGTGCAGTATGTTACTTCAAAATACACATAAGCCAGTTCTTAACTACCACTCCTTTGCCCTGTATCATGTGTACAAATTTTAAATAAACAAGATATGAACGTAAGAAAACCATAATTTAAGAAAGGTATTGTTATGACTTATCCATCCAGGTGTGTTTTACTCAGTGAATGTGTTCTTAAGTTCAGTATGAAACATTCCTTTAAATAACGAGAGAAATTTTATCCATGATTTTTGTCTTCTAAATAACCATAAAGAGCTATGCAGCCATGACATTCCTGACTAAGCTATCTAAAATCTACCTGTAATAATATGGTTGTTAGATGAACTGAGAACCTTTTATAATATTAATCCTTAATAAATTATTTGAAGACTTGCATTCTTCCATTTTATGTGGCAATAAAGAAAACTAGTCTAATTTTGGTGGTTTGGTATTGATGACTTAAGAGATTTTTCCTAACCAGTATATAGTATAGCAGAAGAAACGAAGAAAAAACTGCATCAGTTTTTCATAGTAGACAACAATAACAAATTTTATGCCTTTACTTTAAAAAATAATAGTACACTTCACTAATGCGCAAGATAGATCAACACATCTGATGTAATCACTGAAGCATAGAACATGAAATAAAGATATACCTTGATTAAACTGTATTTGAGAACAAGGAATTTTCTTTTATCAAATAAATTAAATATTGATAAACTTAGTTCACATTTCAACATATGGAGAGCTTAAATAATGAATACAGATCATTAAAGTAATATTTGCAAAAAAAAAAGTTGTGAAGAGTGCCTAGAATTTCTTTGGTTCGGTTCGTAAGAAATTTCTGTAATGGGTGCAGCTCCATGAAAAGGTAAAATTTTGTTTTTACTTAAAATGAATTGTGATGTTTGTGTAAATTTTGTAAAATACATATATATGAGGTTATTTGTAAATAGATATCTTACAATTTGCCTATAACCTCTGATGTAAAACTGGATATTCTCAGTCTAGCCAGAACTTGTGTAAATCTGTTGCTGGTTGTTCTTGTCTGATTGTTATGTGTTTGTGCATTAATAAGTTATATTAAATCTTTCATAATAACAATTAAGTATACATTTTTATCTATTAAGTTGATAAAAAGAAAAAAAAAATACAATCAAAAGGTATTTTATGAGAACAACCATTTGTGTATGATATGAAATTTAAAAATATCTTAATCTCAATATGCACTTGTGTAGAAAAGTCAAATTATGTTTTATTAAAAAATTAATTTGAGTTACTAAATTCAACATTTTTTATTTTTCATCCATAATTTACTAATACAACATACAGTACATTATATAATTGAAAAAGTAGAAATTCTTCATCTATTCCAGTTTTTAGTTATACAAATGAAATGTCACTTAGATTGTACTGTTGTGTATGTAATTTTACTTTTGGGTTAATAAAAAGCTAGTATCTTTTCTAACTTATGTAGCTGACTTATTTTAAAACAGCTTTATCTAAGGGTTGATAATACGATGATTTGTGTTGAAGAACTATGAGACTTTAATATACAAAATTTAGATAGAAAAAATACAGTAATAGCATATGAGGTCTCTTGCCCATCAAAAATTGTTCAGCAGTTTTTCTCTACTTCAAAATTACATTATTGTTTTATAAAGTGCTTAAACTTTTAAGTTTTATTCTAACAGCAGTAAATATATTAGATATTATAAATATAACATTCAGGGTGTAAGAAACAATGTTTACCTACAGTGTAATTTTAATTATCTCGGAAAAGACAAAAGCATAAAACGTTCCAAAAAGCTAAGCTACTGTTTGTTTGAAACAAATACCATGAACTTTTTTAAATTATTATTTAAATGACCTTCCTCTTTACAAAAGATTCATTCAGAGAAAAAAATTAAGTGAATTAGATAATTTTAAACATTTAGTTATATTGCCCAGCACAAAGTCAGTACAAACTGGGAAAACTAGCCAAACTGAATTAATAATAATGAAATTTGAAATAGGACTCAATCAAATGCTGTTATCTTTTGAAGTTCCCTCATAGGTTGTTTAGAATGCTTTGGCAGTTGACATTTGAAGGAAGAGTGTGAGAAGAAACAAAGAAATGTAGGGTAGAAAATATTATTAGCTGGCTGCAAGGAGAAATTGCATAGAAATAACTTAATCAAAGTTGGAACTTCAGCAATTAAAATGGTGATTTAAAAGTATAATTGAAGCAGTTATAAGCCAAATGTACTATCTGAACTTTATTAAACAATAAACTTTTAACTTAGATAGATAGTATAATCCAGTAAAATACATTACCAGCCTAACTATTTATGATAAAATACTAAAATATGGATGAAATTTGCAACAGTTTTCAAGAAAAGTACAGTTTTAAGGTTATAACTAGTATTTTACCTAAATGTGATCTAATCTGTATCCATATTTGTGATAGCATCTTTATTTCTTGGCTTTCTCAGGGAGCTTTCAACAGTGTACTGCACATGAATCAAGAGAATTTGTAGAGTATTGTTAATTTTAACAAAGTAGTCTATTGTATACAAAAAAATAATTCCCTTCTCTTTTATACTTGGATGTGTTATGTTGAAATTAAGAAATCTTTGGGGTTTTCAACATCTTTTGTTGTTTCAAAGGGACACCAGTGGTTTACTAAAGTTAATTTAGACAATGAAACAGGCAACATGTCTTACCTTGAAAACATAAGTTAGATATGCCTTGATTAAACTGTATTAGAGAACGAGGAATTTTCTTTTATCAAATAAATTAAATATTGATAACCTTGTTACAAGTTTAACAGTTGTTAATGGTGAGCAATTTTCTCATTGTCAAGCTACATTATTACATATGCTTAGCAAATAAATTCATTTCAGGTTTCATGGCCCTAAATTTTGTTCTGTAGGTATTAAAAGAGTACCAATCCCTACTTTTCTTTGAAATATTTTTTTACTTGAGACTTAAAAATTCTCTTTGTCATATTACTAAATGACAACTTTTTCCAGTTCTCAACTTTCACACTACAAAATTAATTTATTAATAATTTTGCTTTCGTATTTTAATTTTTTTTTTAATTTCAACTTTTACTGAGAAATTAATTTCCTGCATGAGATGGCAAGTTATAATGAATACCAGTAGTTATTCTAACCAAAATATTCCCAAATAACAAATGGTAGTATACTTGCAGATATTTCCCATTACATCCTTACCTGGGACAACAGGTTCTCTTTTTGTCCAACCAACTAAAAACATTGTGCTATTTAAGTGAAATTTAGTGTAATCTTTACGTTTGAGATAAATCTTCCCTTTTTATATGAAGGATGACTTATTTAACTCCCTATGTCCTTGGGATAATTTCATGGTTTATGAAAACTCACTTATCTGCTGAGATGAGCACCACCATTATGTTAGTGTCATTTAAATGAGCATTATTTTCTTAAAACATCCTCTTCTGCAATGACATTTCAAAATGTGTCACATGGAAAACAAAACTTGGAGCTCCTAATAGAGGTAAGTCTATTAATCTAAATTATACCCCCACTTTTAACTCTCTCACAATCATCTTTAACCTTTCATATTTCTTGTCAATTGTTCATTGATGAAGTTCAGGTACTTTGAATTTATATACATATATTTTCTAGATTATCCTGTATTTGTTTTGTGCAATGAATGCAAATTTTTAAAAACCTTTAACTTAACATAGTATTTTATCACTACCTTGATGATTATTAAAGTATAATATGGACTAAAAACACTGCAATGTACTACGAGTTATTAAGTTTATTAACATTATATATTTAATGGCTCAAGTGTTAAAAGTTTTATATCTTTCAAGCATTAGTCATTACAAATTATATAATTGTTTATTTATCTAAAAATGAATGACTGGCCAGCTAGCAACTGCCGAATAAACAAGTGTTATAGTTTGTTTTACAATACAGAAAGAAAATAAAATGTTTAGACTTAAATAACATACTAGAATGGACACTAATTAATAATTCAGTTCATTTGGAAATATTTTGAAAAACTGTTTCACAGATAAATCACTTTTTTTTTTACCCAATTTAAATTAGGTACTAAAGCTAGAAATTCATAAGTTAGTAAATGTAATATTGAAAGTATGGGAATGAATAAAGGAAGAAAAAGTTGCACAACTGGGAAATAGGCTTATTTCATATGTTGACAACTATCTACATATAGTATTGTTTGAAAGAAAAAATTTCACCCATAAATACTTAACTCAGACTTGTGTATATAAGTATACATAAAATTACAATGACAAACTTATTTAGGTATAAATTTCAGTATCTTTCAGTTGCCAAAAACAAGCATTTTTAATGCAAGAACTCAAACTTTGTTTTAGTGGCACATATTCACATTTTATTAAAAATACCTTAAACAACCGAATGCCACAATTTTTTGGTTATTTAACTAATGGAACACTTATCATAGGAAAATGTGGTCTTTTAAACAATATGAACACTGCAAAAATCATATGTCTGAAATCTTATACTTGCCCTTTCAAAAAACTGAAAACAAACCAAAACATTCAGACATCCATTACACGAGGTTTTTACCTGTGGCTTTATTTAACAAATTCTAACACAATGGAAGAAATTCACAATCAATTTCCCATTATTTATGAAGAATCTATATTTTTGCTGAAGTTGGATATGGCAGGACTTCGAATGAACTTGAAAATTGTGAAAGAGAAATGAAATTTGTATCTTATACATTTCCTGGCTATGTTTTTATAGTGAACAGGTCAACATATTATAAATATGCATTATTTTGAACAGTACAAAACTGGCTGTCTATGGATGGCAATTGGTAGTGGAGTTCTGTATTTTCAGAATTATAAACCAATTATTATATTATATTATAAACCAAAATTTGTTTACAATAGATCAAAGATTCACACCTCTGTATACACACAAACATATAAGATGGATTAGTTAGACACTAAATTTTGTTAAGTGAATCCTGCTTATAGCCATTTTTCATAAGCATTATTATTTTCATGGGATTCCTGATTTTAAGTGTTCTCAGAAGCAAAAATTCATAAAAAATAAGTCTGAGAAAAGTTTTAAACTCAAAAAATTAAGTTCTGTTCCTTTCAATACTATACACTCACAAACTAATTCAATGTTGTTTTTTTAGTTAAGCCTCAATAAAAAAATATTAAACATTTCATTATCTGAAAGAAAGTTTGTTGAGAGATTTTCACATACATCACATAACTACCTATACCAAATATTTAAAAAACTGTGGGACCTGCGGGGTTACACAATAAATAAAAAAAGTTTGATAACTGACTTCATGCTTCATTACTCTGCATTGGTAAATAATTTGAAAATAGTTCATATATATATAGATATATATATATTACTTCCAGACATTTCAAGAGGTTTATCAGGTGCAAGGAAAATATTGTTGCATCAACTCTTCATAAACTTTGACATCTTTTTCAAGAAAAAGGCAAAACATGATGCACTGAACCTGTTCAAATAATAAAAAAAAAGGTTTATTCATATCCTGCTTTGCCAAAACTTACAATATGCATGAAAGTCAGCTACAAGCCATGTTTAGCAAAACAAAATTAAAAAACAGATACATAAAGGATTGAACCCTCTACCTCCCGCATACAAGCCATATCATATGAGCCAAAGCCCAAATATCATTTTTACATGTTCAGTGTTATTAAATGGAATACTATACATATATATATATATATATGAGAAGGGTATATATTTTTTAAATAGATAAATCCTTTGACTTGGATAGAGATTTTGTTTTGATTGAACTTTTGATAAAGCAATTTTATAAAATAGTGAATTTTTAAAGTTATGGTATGTAGAGGTGTAAATATCAACTGACTTTGTTTCTTGCTGAATTCACTTATGTTTCTTTTTCCTTCCATACTGGTATCAAGTATTTTTTTTTCCCCTAAAGTAATTAGCAAAGCATTGAGTCCACTGCCACCAATATCTATAGGCATAACTGTCAATTTTTAGGTGCCTGTACTGAGATAGTTGAAAACGTATAACAGTTATGAAATAGTGAATTTTTTAAATTATGGTATTAAGAAGTGTAAAAGTCAAATGTCTTGATGTGTTTTTTTTTTGCAATTTTTTCCGTATGTGTGTGTAAATTGTATACACTTGGAAAAAAGTTAAGCACCCCCAAATATTTTTCAGGATTGCTTATTGAAAATAAGGTTTAATTTTCATGATGTTGAGCAATGTTCATAATTTCAAACATAATTAAAAGGATGTGAGCGTTCAGGTGTGACATTAAAA